CGACTGAAATATCAATCGGCACTTTATGCCTAACAAACATGTATTAAGAGACGTGAAGCGGTACCGATTTGAAATGCATTTCACTACCAAATATGGCAGGAGAACAAAGTCCACCGAAATGTCAAATGTGTTTAAAGGAAGCATTTTGCCTGTTTATTTGCGAATGACTGAGCGGGTAAATCATGCCTGTTTATGGACATTCAACGGAAGTGAGCTGCTGTTGAACTCACGCAAATTGCAAAGTTGATATTTTTGGCATAAAGAGGGGGAGGGAGAAGAGAGCGTGAGGGAGGAGTTTAGGACGGACCAAGCCAGGCTGCGTGATTGACAGGATTTTCTCATGGGTGGTGGCAGAACGTCTGAAATAACATCTCAGCCTAAATACAATGACTGCACTGACTTAGTTTGAATAATGAAGAAAACGATGAATCATTCGGGACGAATTCCGGTTATTCAAAGAGTATTTTGATTCTCTAAAGACTCGTAAGCCTTTATTTAGTAGCGAATCGGGAAACATCATTAGTTAGTAGGTGACCATGTTGCATTATGTTGATTTAGACCACCAAAAGGGCAAAAATGCCAAAGTTGTAAAAATTTTAAATGATTTAAAACACATTTAAGCGGCAGCAATTATACCGAAAGTTGCATGCAGTCGTATCAAAATACACACAACAAATGCGAAAAGGAAATTCAACCTAGCATTCGTAATTTAAGGCATTTAGCAAGTTAAACGCCGTTGACAAAAGAATTAGTTTACAACAGAATATTCTCATAACGAAAAACTTTATGTGGAGAAGTGCATTTGCTTTTTGAGTCGGGCTTCACTTAATTTTGATTTCAATTGCAGAAATGAGCATGAAGATAGCCGTACTCCTCTTTATTCTGCATACATCCATGGAGGAGGTGGTTGTGGAGACAAACAAAACGCGAATTTTGAGGCAAGCAGAGCCTCAGGACGCCACACAGTGGCAGGATGCTAACAGTCTTCCAATTAGCGAGGAGGCCGTAAATGCCGGTGGGTACGCAGCTCCACGATGCGAACCGATAACAGTTCCGATTTGCAGCGGTGCCTTTTATGAGTACACTCGAATGCCCAACATCCTAAACCACGAGACTCAAGAAGAGGCTGGTTTGGAAGTAAGTTTGCATCGAGAAACAACTAAGAGCGCCTAACTTCACGCAAGGGCCCAAACGGCCAGTGATACGGTAAATAGTTCCAAGATAGAAGCATGCTTTAACCCTAAAGATGAAATATTTAACTTCTACTTTATCAGTGAAGAGGTCCCGTCATTATGTCAAGCTCATGAACCAGAAAAGGTTTCGTGGGTGAATTTTCATCAGCATATTTTTTGTCTGAGCCTACAGAACACAAACCAAATTTTATTAGTAGGTAGTACATTGCACACAGATCTTATACTTAGGTCACAGCTACTGCTACTACCAGGTACATAGGACTTTCGCCAGAACTCTACAAAAGCTCATTTGCAGCATGGGTAAATTTTTAACAAGAATGTGAAATCGGTTGGCGTTTCCCAATAAATTGAGGTTCGAATTTAGCTATCAAATGTAAGGTTAAAGAAGATAGGTGTGGAGGAGGTTCTTTTACTTAATCGGTTACAGATAATGGATTAGCGTGCATAGTAAAGTACAATGTTAACTATTTAACCACACTTCAGGTCCTTATTGCTAGTTACTTATAAGAAGAGGCCTTATTTTTAGTGAAAAAGTATCCACGGGGAAAACTTAAGTAGTATCACCCTGTACGATAGAGCGTTGCTTGACTTGGACCACACGTGGACGTAGCTTCAGCATGCTAAACCTCATTCCGAAAATGCCAAGGGATTATTACATTTTAGCACACTTCAGTTCGTTGACATTCACAGTCATGTATTAGGGGAAGGTAATCGTGTAGCATGGAGACAAATGAAAATGAAATCTTTGTAAAAAATATGTTAAGATAGGATTGGGTTTAGTTTCAATATTAGCTGAGCATGCATTTCTGACATATCTCTTCGGTACTTTAGAATACCGTAGTCTTTTGTCGAGTGAAAAAGTGATAGCGATCAGTGGAACAGCGTTTGGGCTGTTTGCATATTGATTGATGTGTGGCATTTTCAATATGAAAGGTGAAACCACTGAAACATTTCACTCCTTCGCATAGGCATACACGCGCCTCTGCAGAACCACGTCAATCTTCACCAAGAATTGACAGATTACTAGGCTTTTCATGGTATTTTGGAGTTAATCTACGGGAATTTTTGCTGAAAACACTGTCTTGGTTTCTTGGAAGACTGGGAAAAACTCACTGCTAATTGTAGCGGATAGTGAGCATCTGAAGATTTTTTCCATACTCGAAACTTTAAAATTATAGTAAAAGTGAGTTCAGCGTGCAAAATTTTCTAGCTAAAAAAGCCATCCTGAGATACGATTGACTCGTTGTTTGCTTCAAAGCCATTCTTTTGTCTGGCAATGCTAAGAATTATCAGTTGCAAAGCATGCAGTCGAAAAGTGATACATTTGGCTAAAACATCGGAACCTATCAGAAGTAGCTTTCGCCAAAAACTTGTGTGGTCATTTAATAACTTGTGAAAATTTCGGCACTTGAATCTCTTTGTACGAGCATCCAAAAAATGTAACGCGTTTTTTAGAGCTGCTTACCGATGTTTTACGGGGTTCTGTGACACCATGGTTTGCATGTGTTTGAGAGCACCAGTTGCAATTAACTGACCTTGCAATCAACCTGATGGTACATTCCATAGATGTATTGGTGTATTTTTTTTTGTTAATCTTTTTTTGCTCTGATTTGCATTCATGTAAACCCATTTCGGGATAGTGTTCGTGTGTTTTGGTGTGTGGACCTAAAGTTGACTTGGACTCTGGCTTCGTATGCAGAAATTCTTCAGCCCAGTATCCATGCTAGCATCTATGCCTGCACCCGTCACGAGCTGCAGTGATTTATTCAATTCTGGGATTGAAGCAGACCTTAGAGAAGAAGGGGCAGAAAGCGAAACAACAGAAGGAAGCAGAAAGAGCCGCAGATGATTTTGCTTAGCCTCACAGCTGAATAAATAGTCCGTCTTTTCGCGATCTGGAGCCTAACCGGGTTCTTGGTCAGTTAACTTCCCATAATGCAAAAATATTAATCACCCTTACCTTTAACTGGGAAAGGGAGGCTGTAAAACCACTAGTTGATATCAGTGCACGTTTGAAGGTGAAATTTTTCTAGGAGCAGCAAAGGAGATTTATAAATATGAAATATTTAATTCAATTTTGCCATATTATCGGGTCACACAACTTCTGTTTCTGTTGCATTCGCTTGAGATAGTTTCAAAATGACTAACTAGTATTCGGCAATTCCGATTATAAGTCTTTAAGAACTTGTTAAGAATGTGGGATTTGTCAAGCCTTACACTGTCCGATAGGTTAGGTAATCATAAATGCCAACTAAATCAGGTTCATAGTTGACGAAACGAACAGTAAACACAAGCGTCCTTCTAAGGCATCACACTGACTTTGTGGTATGCTTCATTTTTCTCATGGTCACTCACAGGAATTGGAAAGTAGTTGCTGTAAGGACATTTAGTCAAAATGTTGTCGTGTATCTCATGTAAGGCAAGATAAAATAGGAGAAGCCAGTTGATAACCAAACAGTCCTACTTAAAACAAAATCAAAATCATGTAATGCGAATGCACTCTTCCCTTAATTAGGCTCATCAATTCTATCCTCTAATTCACATCAACTGCTCAAAGGATCTGCACTTCCTCATTTGTTCCATCTACACACCCATCTGCATGGAGGGCTTTACCCAATCGCTACCACCCTGCCGGTCAGTCTGTGAGCGCGCCAAAGCCGGTTGTGGACCTATTATGGGTTACTACGCCTTCACTTGGCCTGACAGAATGCATTGCGACCAGTTTCCCGAACTAGACAACCCCGAGGGCATTCTCTGTATGGAGCGTAATCTCACTGATGCCGAGCGGGTCGAGTTTGAGTCCTTACAAGCAGCTCGTGAAACTTCAACGGTAGTGGGAGAGAGTAAAGCGACAGCAAGGGATCAAATTATGTCGAAAGAGTTGGAGGCGGCAGCTAGGGCTAGCGGAGATGCAGACGGAAATTCTGAGGCTCTTAGCGTTTCCGGTGCTTGGCTTGACTGCTCCTGCGATTGTCGTCATCCATTAGTGCCGATTGTTGCTAACAATGATAGCCAACTAACTCAAATATCAACCCTGGGATTTCAAAGTTGTGCGTTGCCCTGCCATTCCATCCATTTTCAGACAGAAGCGGATCAGAAGTTTGTGGATTTCTGGCTATGGTTGTGGTCTGTCATCTGCCTCATTTCAACTCTAATAACAATGCTCACCTACTTAACTAACACCAGCAGGTTCCAGTACCCAGGCCAGCCGATAATCTACCTCTCCACGAGCTATTTTTTTGTCTCTGTCGGCTATATTCTTCGTATGGTAGTTGGACACGATGGAGTGGCGTGCACAGCGGTTACAACACTCCTAAGAGGCGAAGAGAGTCAGCAGAGAGGAATGTTTACCACGGCCAGCATTCTACAGTTCTCACTTTCTGGAAGGGCAGCCTGTGCCACTGTGTTTTTGCTCACCTACTACTTTGGAATGGCTTCATGTGTGTGGTGGGTGGTTTTGACGATCACGTGGTTTCTAGCTGCTGGCTTGAAGTGGGGAAATGAGGCGATTTCAAAGTACACACAAGTGAGTGAAATATTGAATGTTAACTTTTAGTCCCACAATGCAAAATAATCATTCATATGAATGACTAAATAATCAGTTTAAGTGGTCTGAAAAGAGAACGGAAATTGATATGAAATATATGTAAGTCTGTTGCAAAATCATTTAACATTAACATTAAACGGAACAAAGTTTGCAGTAAATTCAAGTTAGACGAATTTTAAGACAATGGAAATCATCCAAGTGAACTGCATACATGCAATTTTATTTATGGTTGATCTTTGCAAAATTACCTAAGCATATGAGGTTATAAAATAATCGAGAATATAAAACAGTTGCCGAAATTAAAAGGCTGTTTTTCCGGTCTCAATAGGTATTCCACTTTGTGGCCTGGGTACTTCCAGGCGTACAGACCGGAGTCGTTCTGATGCTTCGAGCTGTGGATGGTGATCCAGTTGGAGGACTTTGCTATGTTGGATCTACAAGCGACAATCACCTCATATATCTCCTTCTCCTTCCACTGTGCACTTATTTCTGTTTCGGCACCTTTTTTTTGCTGAGTGGCTTCGTAGCACTCTGCAACATTCGGCGTGTCATCAAATTTCAGCCACGAGTAGGCACGGATAAGCTCGAAAAGTTAATGATTAAACTAGGAATTTTTGGACTTCTCTATACTGTACCAGCAATCGTTGTGATTGCTTGTCTGGTCCATGAACTTCGTTGGCGAAGAGTCTGGCAGCTGGGTGTTGCTTGCCGATGTGATTGGAGAGGCCCAGAAGGTGGAAGACGACTTCCTTTTGCTTGGAACCCTCCGACACCCGAATACGCCATTTACATGCTAAAGTACTTTATGTCCCTCATTGTTGGCATCACTTCAGGCTTTTGGATATGGTCTAGCAAAACTGTCGATGCTTGGAAGAGTGTGTGTCGTGGAAGGAAGACAAAACCATCCAGAGGTGCTGTTGCTCCAATCATAGAGAAGACGGCCACAAACTGGGCGTCCCTGAATGCTCAACCTCAATCACAGTTCTCACTCAAGAGCATTCCTGAACGAATGAGCGGTCAGGGCAACTTTTACGGAGCAAGCGGTGACCAAAGAACTAATCCGTACTGTCCAGTTGTCCGGGCCTCCAGCTCGGGAATAGGTGGAAGCAGTGGAACAGGAAGTGCTTATGCCAATACAACGTCCGTTGTAGAACAAAACTCCGCCAATGTAAACCGAGCATTCGTTTTCAATAGTGGAGATTTCACAACAACAATGGCGCAAAGACCTGGGTTGTATTGAGTTGGGGACTGGCGGTAAAGAAAAGTGGGCATTTGTAGGGTTTTGTGCTCTGATAAGTTCATACTGCTTTTACAGACCTATTCGCAAAGACCTAATGTTACATTACGCCTGTAAATACCATTGTCGACTTTCTTTAAGTGCCTTTCATGAAATATACAATTGATACATCAGCGCTACCATAATTATTTAAGTAGTTCATTCGACGAATTTTAAAATTATGGAGCATGGAAACAATCAGACAAGCATGAAGAAACCTCTAGCTCTTCCTTTGTTACCATCCTGCCCCTATCAGAAGCTGTCATCGGTAAAAAAGCGTAAAAATGCTTGAAATACATTCGGGAGACGTTTTTGAATTGAAAGAGATTCTCGCTTTGATGTCAGCGATTGTTAAAAGATAGGACACCAGAACCTTGCTGCTCATCAAGTACTTCTATATTTAAATTAGAGGTTATTTTCTTTTCTTGCTATGCAAAGCTCTCCTCCACAGTAGATTATCGGTGACTATGGACGACACAGAATTCCAGCAGCTGACAAAGATCCCAACTTCCACACCCACACACGGCATCTGACACATTCTGACAATTCATGAAAGACTGTGATGACGCGTTTTTGATATCCTATCAATTAAGTTAAAGCTAAAGTGAGAAATCGGAAACAATGAATGCAGACCACACTGGCGATCATTTATTGCATTTATCACCAGCCCATCTAAAAGGGAGGAACTAAAGCGCTCAAGAGCAGTTCCTTAACGTAAGGTTCGCATATCCAACTACATTCTCTGCGGCTTATTCTTGAGAGTTGACACAACTAGCTGTAGCATTTAACCTCTAACAATGAGTACAGAAGTTTTTACAGGAAAAATAACCGATTTTGTGCCCAAGCTGTGCCAAACAATAAATATTTAAAAACAGGAAGAGCACAGACATTTATTAAGATTTGAGAGGAAGTCAACTCGGTACTCAATCGTAAGGGGCAAAGTTCGAGCGGCGCATGCGAAAACAGGAGTCAAGAGTAAGAATAATCAATTAATAACTTCAACGTAGTTTCCCGGGAAGAGACCAGTTCGGCCGTTCATCATAACTCCCTCCCACCACCCATCGTCATTCTTCTTGATCACATATATCAGTTCATTTTCACAGAACGTCAACTCATCGCTTTTGTCGGCTGTGTACTCGTACACGGTGATTACTGGAAAAAAAATGGGCTCAACATTGTCATCTCGAAGTACTAGAGAGACTCAACTGCAAGTTATGACTAACAAAAGTTACAATAGCAGCAGTTTTATTGAAAAAAGCATTTGTAGATAAGAATTGAGGATTAAAAGTAGGCAAAACACGAGAGCTAAGCAATCCAACACTATTAATGCAGGCATAGCAAACTTTCACGCCTCTTAAAAATAACCCTAAGCAAATAAAAAAGGATGGCTTAGAGTATGAGTTTACTAGGGATGATTCTCCAATTATCATAGAGCTTCCATGTGTATTAAACGGATATTCCGGGGTGGCAAATAATCGATAATATTGGTACCTCGGTTACCTAAACCAACAATTACAGTATTCTAGCCCATATGGTCGAAGAGAGTCGAAAGAATAAAAACAACTAAATGGTGAACAGAAGCCATGCGACCACTATTCAGGAGAAGAACAAAGATGCGAATTATCTTAACTTCAAACTAGCAGGGAACCGCGGAATTCATCATCTACTCTTAGTAAGCATAAATATTCTTAATAAAGATATAACAAATGTTTGCAAAACCTTACCCTTCTGGATGTAGTGAGAAGGAGCCCATGGCGGATCATTGTGCTGACGCGGTCTCAACTGGTCCATTGGACTGGGCTGCAGACGACTCAAATCTACTCCACCAATACCACCACCAGTGGACGACTGACTGTATTGTTGCTGCTGTTGTTGTTTCTGTGATTGTGACACCGCACAGCCAGTGGCGTCTAATTGAATTGGCATCTGTGGTCTTGAGTTTGGTGGGATCTCGCTCGGTGGAGGTGGGAGATCGTTTTGCCCCACCTAGTCAAATAAAGCAATGAGAATCAATCCTAAATCAGGCGGCCTTGACCGAACATTAGTGATGTCTCACTCAAGCTAAAGTTGCATTAAATTTTAGTTTGGATTTCAGTGAAGTGAATACGTATGTAACCCAAACCTCACAAATCATTTGCAAACCCCCGATAAAATAATAGGAAGAGATTTGATAATAACCTACAACACCACAGAATTGCATTCTAATGATTAGAGGTGGATTGTACCATATAAAAACTACAAGTCTACTGTAACGCTCAAGTCATAAGGGATTGAACGATAACGCAGATTTTAATGCCGATGAGGACATTCGATCCAGTCAGAGGTGGTGGAGAGATTGTGAATAAATACGTTTAAAGAAAAAAGCCCAAAGTGGTTGGTCAGCGCATGAAACAAAAATGAAATAAGACCGAGTTTTTCATATCCGTAGGTCGGTGCAGAGAGGCCTGAGGGGGTTGTTGGTACTGAGCTGGAAGATGGTGCTGTACTGAGCCCCCTAGTACGTTGCCCGGCTCGGAGTGCTGGCGAGCAAACATTCCTTGATGCGGTGGTACCATTTGCTCGTGAGACGGCGAGCGCTGGTCAGTAAACGCCTGCTGCTTGGTCGCATATCCCGCAGACTAGTTGAAAAGTTAAACCGCTAGCGAATTCCATTAACGATCCTAATCAAGATAGAGGTGCCTTCCTCTCCGATTCTCAATTTAAGCAAAGGTGACTTTTGATTTTATCCAATCAAGAGAAAGAGGCAGGTTGAACTAAACTATCTCAGCCATCACAGTTTACCATTGTAGCGAAGTTTGGTAACGGCACAGGGTAGTATAAACACAGATTGAAGTGGCAGTTATGGCTTTATAAACAAAAGGCTTGCTTTTGGCACCGGGTGCTTTATCTAATCACCAGTTCCTCATTCGAGAATTTGATTTTCCGCTAAAGGCAAGTAAAATGTGTAAAAAGCAAAGAAGCATTAGTTTAATAAAAAAACACTTCTCATAAGCAAGCGAATAAAAAGCAATCATATAAACAAGTTCACCCCTAAACAAGTAATGGAACACCAGAACCACTCAGCCCTTTCACCATTTCTTATAAATGCAACAAGAAGGAGAGTGTTCACCAGAGGACCGCCTTGATGCTGAGGCTGAGCCATATGCATTCCTGTAGGAGCGTAGCCAGCGGGTGTGCGTGGCTGATTCCCTGAAGAGCTACTCGAACGACGAGATGGTCCACCTAGAGATCCCGTGGAGTTCGAGGCGTATCCGGCGCCATCGACGGTAGTGGGAGGATGGGTCCTACCTATTGGTACAAGGACCTGCTGCTGACCTCCATAGGGATTCCCGTACTGGCCCATCACCCCTGTCCTGTATATTCCGGCTGTACGACCAACGGTCCCACCTGAAGATATGCACAGAACAGACCATGAGTTACTCGAATTAATAGATTGGTAGCTCAAAAGGTGAGGAGACTCACTCTGATAATCAGATGCAGTAACGGAGGTAGCGGCGTACTCTCCACCTACTTTTATGTTCATGGCTTTTGGATTTATCGTGTTACCATGATGACCCATTTGGTGCGTTGTGGTACTCCCCCTGCGTGTCAGAGTTTGTGCATGAACAACCGGTGCCCCATAGGGACTCGTGACCGGTTCCTTAAAGTATAAAGGAGCGTCATAGCAGTTTGAAGCAAATAGCACGGTGGTGGTGCGAACATTAATGGCACCTCAGGCAAGACATGGAGCAAAAAATTGAGGCAGTGCATACACATATACGCGTAAGCCACATGACAAGTAATGGCGATGGCAATAACATTTATTCATTACCGATTGCTTTCTCACGCGATTTATCTATCAAATACACGCACACATAAGAGTGGCGACAATTCGGAGTACGAGGTGACAAAACAGTTGAGAAAGCCCAACCAGTTACCTGAGATCTCGTTCCATGCCCGATATGATCAAGGATTGAATAGTCAATTGGACGGCGAACATACTCCATGGGTGGATCCTGTCGAATTTTCGTCAGAGTACATTTGACGAGAACTTTTGAGGCGGTACAGGAGCCAATTGCCTTACGAGCAACTTTTTCACGGCGAATTTTGACCTCCTTAATATGAATAGTTAGAAACCAATGCAGAGGTACTATATTACCATGGCCAGTTGCGCCACCTTTTCTTCAACCTCCGACATTTTATCAGTTCGCTCATCAAGAAGAGCGAGAAAGGCGCTGGCGAGATTATTGATGTGGTGAATCATAGTTCCAAGGGATTGAGTGGCGTAGTTCATGGTTTCGTCGATAGCTCGTCGCTGACCATTTGTTGCAGCCGTGAGATAATTTCCACTGCAGTACTTTGCTGCTTGTTGAATTTCACGCCCTGTACGGTTAAGAGCGTTCTGGCCCTCTATTAAGTCATTTTCCGTAACTGTCATGGATCCTAGACATATAAACACATCAGGTAAGTCGAAAACATTGTACTGGCATCAGAAAAAAACAGGAACTCAAGTTAAGTGCAGGCGCATTAAACTTCAACCGACCAAAAAATTATAGAAGGCAACAATACTGATATAAATAATTCTACGACAGCTATTGCACCAATTGGAAAGTAATCAATAGCTTAACGGAGTGCAAAATGGGCGAAAGTTGAAATACGATTGATGACTGTTTAGTGCAACCAATGATCACACCAAATTTATTTGAAGCTACAGCCCATGTGATAGAGGAATAGCAAACGACCTAAGGACGTCCGAGAGCAGGCAGAAGAAAACACACAGAGCCTATTGGCTCTTCGGTGCCGTCTGTAAGACCGCCATTCAAAAAGAGATAAACAAGAATGATAAAACTATATGTTCATAATACAGATATCAATAACTCAAACACCTTAAAACTAGCAAAAACGTTTATGTTATTACAGGCGCAAAGGTCCCTGAAATAAGTTCGTACGTGATACGTAAACTAAAATGATATTTCCTTAGCTGATATTAAATTTCCGTAGGCTTTTCGCCAAAAAATTAATCAGTTTTATTAACTTATACAGGTATGTTAATATAAGCGAACATAAAAATACGTGTGCATGCTTCTTAGGATAGTCCGTAATTTTGGGGTAGTCGGTAATCGAAGCCTAATCTTAGTGCGATTCGCCAAAAAATGACGTTTATCCACCACCTATTTAACGTACATTTCCCTGTAATTCTTTGCTGATCTTTATGAGTTGAGATCACTTTAGTGCCCATCTTATTTCTCTAGGACCGCGCCAAAGCTCCATTTTTGTCTGCCTAAAATAGTCACATGGGGTTAAGCTAAATTTAGACGAGAGACACATTTAAAAAGTAAAAAATGACTCCCTATTGTGCTATCTTCGTTATAGTAATCATAATTAAAAATTTTTATATTAGGGTAAAAATTAGTGCAGTGCGGCTTTAGCGTGGTTCAGAAGCCATACGACCCCACAGAAGCATTATGGCTGCCAAAAGCCGATCCTCACTCATGCTGGCAGCCGAACAAAGCACCATGTAGATCCGATTCCCTTTTGAGCCAAGTGTCCAATACTCCTGTCAAACGACCTCCTGAGCCAGCCATTACAATGTATTTGGTGCCTCCAGATGACATCAGTGAGCTAGCTGCTTCTAATATCCACTCCTAGGTGACTGAGGAGAGACAACTAACCTCATCGTCTCTAGTCCCTCCTAGCAGCTTAATCTGGATTTAAGGTTTCGTTCAGCTAAAAAAGGATTTAATTGTAGTGTCCCGAGGCTTCCTATAGCGTAGTGAAAGTCATAAGTGAAGGTGAATATATGTATTTGGAAGACGACAGGGAAAATGAGACCTGAGCGTGGTTCGAAGGCCAGCCCTCGTGTGCATAGAACAGAAGACTTCTAAAGTGACCGCCAGACATCCGGTAATCACATAAACAATGTATTGCATTAATGACTAAGGTTTTTGTGGACCATCAGGTATTTTTAAGCGATTAGTCGGGACGGTAGCCTTAAATGGTCACAAGAGGAAATCTGAAATTTGACTGTAGCGTCCCGAGACTTTCTAGCAGGTATAAGAAGTCAGTAAGTGCAGCTAGATACATGTATTCCGAAGGCAACAGGTCAAGTGAGTCTGTGCTTGGTCTGACGCCTGTAATCTAGTCGTAATTAGGCTAACATTAGTTTATAGCAATACCACTTTAAGGAACCGAAGAAAAGCGGATAAGAAGTTGTGGCAGTTCTGGATACGACATAAACTGTTAGTAATTCTTTAAACCGCCATACCGGTAAGCCTAAAAGTGAATCACTAAAGCATCAGTCTGAAGCACTAAAAGGGGTGGATGGCAGGCTTAGTAGCGCGGTGGCTGTCATCACAGTTGTTACCAAAAGGCAAATAGAAATGCTTAGCTGTAAAAAATAAGTCATTATAAGCCCGGGTAGGCAAAGGTTGAGGTGCAGCCTTAAAGTGCATTTTGCAGTAATTCGTAAAAGTGGCAAAAATCCTTTGTTGATGTCGAATCAGAATGATAAATTCAACAGTTACAAAATAATGTAAAGTACTCTTGTAGAGAGTTTAGGCATAAAGTTGTAAAGTGCATCGCGATGTTTCTCTGTACTCTCCTCAGACAACTCTACAATTAATGGCAAGCAGATAGGCATGTAGATGGGGTTCAGTGCCCATGCGGAGTGAAGGATAGAGGAATGCTCGTAACACGACTAAGACTTTGACCATCTCATACGAAAAGACAAATCACATTAAAGTAAAGACGCGAAAGTTATGAAGGCCCTATAATATTGGAAAAGTAGCTAAGATCAGATTTCAAAACTTTGCAATCGTGGAGGAAGTAGCTTTTTATTAAGCTAATGGAATGAACCATTCGAGGGTGTGTCATTGAACTTAAGTATGCTGCCTTCAAACTTAATGGTGGAAAAGTTTAGAGAACCGAATGGATGTACCTTACCAATGAAAAAGGATTGGCTACTTAATTTGCGGGGTTGATAGCGAACACCCACTTTTGCATTTACAATCTCATACAACCGATTCGGCTGAATGACGTTAGTGTTAAAATCAGAAGGAACAACAAACCCGATTCAGATGGAAGTTAGCATTCGATTTTATGGGAGCAAAATGTCAAAAGTGTCAGAAATGATTGTGTATAAGCGGGAAAACGCATCTGTCACATCCGAGTTTGATTACAACATGGCGTGGGCCTATTGGATACCAAACATTTCTTCATTTCTGTACGAGGTGCGCAATTGTGAAAACGACATCTAAAATGAAATCTAGAGCAGCTTACTTAAAAGTGTCACCAAATAAGGGTCGCATTATTAAAGTAAGGCTGTTAAGAAAGAAGTGCACTTGTCATAAGAGGCCTACAAGGCTGGAAGCGATTGATCACGATGTCAATGGCATTGCATAACATCTGAAAAAAACATGGACACTCGGAAAACTCAGGACCTTTAAATAAAAAGTGAACAAAAAATATCGAGTGAAAAGCCTTACTCCCAAGTCCATCCTTTTCCTTTTTGAAGCAAAACACAACAATGCTGCAAATCTACATCTGCCACTTAGACCATGGGTGAAGCCATTTTAAAAGCACTGGTACAGTGCTTAGCCTTTTTACCAAATTTCGTGGCTGTGGACAGAATCAGGTAGTTAATTAAAATGGAGACAAGGAGGAAGTTGACTGGCACAGAATACTGACTGGACATCCTAGTAGAATAAACAGGTGCAAAATTAAAAAACCTTGTGATTTATTTTTGTAAGCAAATCAAAGTGCATGAGTTGATAGCATCTGGCCGTTAGGCACCGTCGACGGAAGACATAGGGGGGACTACATTGTGAATCGTGCCGCAAGCAGAAGTGGTGTGAAACTGCATCTTTTTATTAACAGATCTTAATGATTTTTTCAGCAATGAAAATTCCTTAAGGAGGCATTTGTCATAATGCGAGAAAAGGTGACCGGCAAACACTCAATGGACTTAAAAAGGGGCAGGCATTTTCATCAGAAATGCATTCATCGTAACAAGCAATGCTCCTCATCACCACATCATCGCAATAACTTGCCCAGTAATATTGCGTGTAAATGAAGTTTATTTATAGACACCGCAATAAAGGACTCCCAGCGCTTTCTGGTTGTGTTCAAGCGTGTCTAAGAGGTGGCCATAAACAATTTTCATTTGCAGCCATGTTGTTGTAGAAGGGCTGTGCTTCATCCTCGGTAGTCTAGTTGGTTAACCTATGGCAAATAGATCAAGCACAACCAAATGTCTAAAAAAAATTTCGAAACTCATTTAAGTACGCTGTGTAATATTGTACTTTGACATCGAAATGCGCAGTTAAACTTGCCCAACGCGAGCTCAAATCCCTCTCAAATGCGTTAGCCTCAATTACGCAACACTACCCACTCAAGGCCCTTTCCCCCAACAGTTGCCTTTGTTTAGAATACAAAGGTGTGCCATTAAAGTTTGTTTTTATACTGAAGCACCTCGCAACATATTTTATTGCAGTGTGTACTAATTTCTTGAATTTAAATCATTTTACGTTTTTTACTGGTCACGAAATGTAAATAGCTGCATTCGTAATATGCACGAGATTTGCCTCCATGAAAATGTGCAACCTGTCTGCATGATAAACATAGAAGCTTGTAGCATCCCTTCCTCTTTAACGACCACAATTTTAAGGGGGAACTGGAATGTTGGACTTAAGCAATCCTTTAAATTGTATCACTATTCAGCATAGTTGTGGCCAGTGCAAGGGTATAGACAAAATGGATTTGCTGCTGTATCATTGCTCAAATGAGGTTAATTGAATGTCCGAGGAAATTTCGTGAACTCTTAAAAACGGTCCAACCATGGTTGTATCCGAAAAGTAATCAAATGAGGACATCAAGCACGAATAGCCATTAAAATGGTGTATTTTGGTTTGCTTCAGATAGTCACAGAAAATATTTACGATTAATTAGTGGTCTAAAAGGGGCAATGCTTAACCGAGTGATGGAACACTTGCTTGAGGACATAATTCTAAAGTGCGCCTTTTAAAAAGTGGTAATAATAAAAAAATGGAAAATAAACGGTTTCCAAACCATCACAGAACAAGTGACTTAGGCAACATTGTAGATCTGCTCGATACCGCGGCATTTTCCTTCCACTGTTGATAAATCCCATCCTACAAAGTCGAGCACTTTCCTGTTTTGCTGCTAGCTACATTCAAAGGCACTGGTGAGTCTGCTTGCATGAGCTTAAAAGCAGCAACACTTTTCTGGTATCTACTCGTTGAGACACGTGACTGCCGTACTCTTCACCTATCACCCTTGTCAGCGAATATCCTGAGTGAAAATGCGTGCATGCTAAGGGTTTACCCGTTACCTGCTTAAATAATAGGAAAAGGGCATGTAAAGAAATAGCAGGAACTTGGTTTGTAAGGCGAAACGGGGGGATTTTCAGTGCAGTTTACA